TGAAACTATGGGGGAATGTCCCCTACTCATGTGCGGCCAAAAGTTTTCAAACTCAGCCCCTTAGGACAGCCCGGTGCTCACGTACGGGCACGTGAAAATTTTTGGCGCGAAAATTACTAACTCGGGAGTGCGAAAAGCTAGAAAACTAAAACTTTAGGGGAATATTTCTTACACATGTACGACCAAAATCAGGTGTTCAGAAGCGCCCGGGACCCACGTGCGAGCACGTGGAAATTTTGTCGCGAAAATTACTAATCCGGAAGCGGGAAGAACTAGCAAGCTGAAACTTTAAGGGAATATTCCCCACTCATGTGCGAGCAAAATCAGGTGTTTAGAAGCGCCCGGGGCCCACGTACAAGTACGTGGAAAATTTGGCACGAAAATTATTAATCCGGGAGCGGGAAGAACTAGGAAACTGAAACTTTAAGGAAATGTTCTCCACTCATGTACGAACAAAAGATTTTAAATTCAGCTCCTTAAAACCATCCAGTACTCACGTACGGACACGTGAAAATTTTAATGGGAAAACTGCTAACTCAAAAACGGGAAAAGCTAAAGGCTTTAATTTTAAGGGAATGTTCCCTACTTATGTGCGACTAAATGATTTCAAATTTAACTCTTCTAGTGTGGCCTTTTTTGCGGACCAGCAACTTCTCATTTGCCGGGTCACTGAAGCCGACATCTATAACTGAGATACCACACAGTTGCACAATTAAATTCCCGAACTTCGAGGGCCAGTATGTCACAGGTTTAGCTACTGTGATTCCTTGCGATCTTGCTATGGCGCGAGAAGTGCAAAAACGCATAATCGCACCAGCCCGCCTGGTGTGTCCCAGCCTGGATTTTTTTGGTTCCCGGATTAGCAATTCATCCGCCAAAAATTTTCACGGCCCCGCACGTGAGGGCCACGTGGACAAAAGCATCCATTTTGGGGGAAGGGCCCCGTACCACAGCCCTGTAGCTTTTGTAGGTCTCGAGATGAAAACTCGGCATACACACATGCACACACACAACCCTTCGATGTTATGCGTTTTTTGCCAGTACAAGGATGCACAGATGCAAAAAACGCATAAAAATGAAAAAAGTGAGAGAATCGAGGTCATCTTTCCAAAATTTTTGCCAAGAAGAACGTTTAATCGCAGAAAGTCGCCTCAGACTGACGTCAATTCTTATGATATCTACACCAAGAACGTTTAAATACAAAGTCGCCAATCTGTGTCTCAAGAGAGCTCGGGGCTTATGACTTCGTACTGCTAGGCTAATAGTAGTTGCTAACTTTTTTGTATTCTTTTTATCTAAACAGAAAAAAACTAAATACAAATTTCAAGTAACAGAAGTTTCGGCACTGAAGAGAAGTTGGTGACTTTGTCAAGAAAAGAATGAATAAGGATATGAGATACTAAATACAAGTTGGCGTCTTCTTACTTTAATTAAAAGTGAATTTAAAGATTTGCAGTATTGTATACGAGTTGCAACTGTTTATTTTACCCGAAAATGAGTTTAATAAAAACCTGTAGCACTGAAGATGAGCTGACTATCCCTCCTTACTTAACTTAAGAAATAAGTTCTGTGAAACCACTAACGCTACATGCGAACGAATTCTATAAAATTTTCCACGCTGCAAGTTCTCTTAATTTATCCGAAAACAAGTCTCGCAAACAAAAGTTTAGAAATAACTCCCGAAAATGAATTGTCGGTGCGATCATGGGTTTTTGCACGGTTTTGTGCAGCAATTAAATCGCTAACACAAAAAGCATAATATATGCATCCGTGTTGCGTATGTCTTGTTGATCGAATATTCTCTAAGTTCAGAAGAGAAAGTTACTAACTGGGCCAGTGCTTCATGAATTTTCAGCTTACTAGCATGTCTGATTACCGTGAGAGAAGAATGTCAAGAATTACGCTCAAACAGAACTCTGACGTGCCCGCACAGGGGTTTTAAACATGACAGTTTATTTCACGCTCACGGGCGCAAAATACCCGCGTAAAAGCACAGTTTTTTATGCAATCTAGTTCTCGAGTTAGAAAACTGTCACCAGATCTGCTGTTTGGAATTTGTCATATCCGTATGCAAGATGTAGCCGCAGGTGAAAGCTGACTTCAGCTTCTGTAACCGCATATGGACAGTTAACATTCGCATAAAATTTCAGTTTTCTAGCCTAATTTCGGAACGAGAAAGATGACGACAGCACTACAAATTAAACATCTAAAGTGTTCGCAGGCAAGATAAACGCATTCGCAAAAGCTTATTTTAATCTTACAGGTGTGCAACTGAACAGAAAACATTTTAAAAAAAAGTTCCTACTCAGCTTAATATGTGTGTAATTTTCAACTTAACAACCGGAGAACCTAGGAAACTGAAACTTTTGGAGCATGTCTTCATCCTACTTGCGACCCTTTTGTTTTAGAATCATTTTA